CCTGGCTTCAGGAGGGAGAAAAGGATGCAAAGGAAGAAGGAACCAGGTGAGCAGCCCTTCCTAGGCCATTTGCACCCAGCCAGCCGAGCCTGACCCAGGAAAGGATCTAGGTGGCCTTCCACCCCCTGACCGCCAGAAGTGTTCCTTCAGTCCTTAGGTCAATATCAATTAAGCGCTGGCTCAGATGGTAAAGAATCTTCCTGCAGTGGAGACCCAGATTCAATCCCTGGGTCAGGAAGATTTCCTGGAGAATGCAATACACTCCAGTGTCCTTGCCTGGAGAATCTCATGGACAGAGGAGTCTGGCAGGCTACAGTCCATGGGGTTACAGAGAGTTGGACATGACTGAGTTACTTTCACACTTTCACATGTGGCAGGCATGTGCTAAGCAAGAGAGACCAATATGACATACCCAGCCTGCAGCTGGTCTGATGAATTCCCACATGAAACAAGGTGGGTGCCAGGAGGGACGCATGTAGAAGGTGATGGCAGGAGAGGGGAATGCCCACCTGGCTTAGGGAGAAGAGGGTTTGCGAGTGGCTTCCTGGGGCAAAATGTATCTTAGTTAAGTTTGTTTTTTTTAAGTGATTCCTCGGGTTTTGTTTTTTTTTTTTTTGGCTGCACTGGGTCTTAGCTGCAGTATTCAGGATTTTTAGTTGCGTTATGTGGGATCTAGTTCATTGACCAGGGATGGAACCTGAGTCCCCTGCATTAGGAGTTCAGAGTCTTAGCCACCAGACCACCAGCGAAGTCCTTCCTTCTCATCACTTGTTACTTTCTCCTCCTTAGTCATTAAGACTCAGTTGAGGGACTTCCTCGTTGGGGAACTAAGATCCCACATGCTGTGGGGCTCTGCCCCCCCCCCCAAAAAAAAGAAGTCATGAGGAGGAAGAATAAGGAAGGGGGTGAGGGTGGAAGCATGCTCCCAGCAGAGGGGATGGCAGGAGCAAAGGGCGGGAGGTGAATTGCGTTGGAGAGTATAATGGAGCGGGGGCTGGTGAGGCAGTCGTAAGACTACCGGACACTGATGTTTGAGGGAAGGAGCTGGGGTGGGAGTGGGGATGGGGTTGGGTCCGCAGGGAGGGCTGGAGATGGTTTGCCTCTTTGTTTTTTATTTTTATATTTTATTTATTTATTTTTGGCTGTGCTGGGTCTCCGTTGCCACGTGGGCTTTTCCCTCGTTATGGTGAGCGAGGGCTCCTTTGTTGTCATGCATGGGTTTCTCATTGTGCTGGCTTCTCTTGTGGAGCATGGGTCCTAGCTGGCAGGCTGCAGTAGTTTGGATTCCCAGGTTCTAGAGCACAGGCTCAATAGTTGTGACAGATGGGCTTAGTTGCTCCGTGGCACGTGGGATCTTCCCTGACCAGGGATCGAACCTGTGTCTCCTGCATTGGCAGGCAGATTCTTTACCACTGAACCACCAGGGAAGCCCGGCTTACCTCTGGAGAGCTGGTGGGACCCAGTCCAGGTCCCCAACAGATTGCCTTTCTCACAGAAGAAAACTGCAGGGTTTGTACTTATGCTGGCTTAGGGGAGATGCTCCTGACAGCCGTCCGGTAGCTACTGCATTACAGGCAGGGCCTCTGCCAGAGGCTCCCACAAACATCCCCTCCCTTCCACTTCCAGCCTGCGCACACCCTCTCCTGGGGGAGGGAAGAGTTAAGACTCCTTCTTGAGACTCCTGCCAGCTGGTCCTGCTTCCTGCTCTGTCCTCACCTGTGCGATGGGACGAAGAGACGGACGGAAACATTTGCTGCTACCAGCATTCTTCAGCTCCGTGCTTTCACCCTCCCACCCCATGAGTCTGGGTCAAACTTTTGGTAACATCCAGGAAGAAACATCTGTGACTTCGGCTGGGCCGCCACTTGCCACCCACCTCTAGAGGGAATCGGGGAAGGAGTAAAAGATAAGACAAAGCTGTAGGACATATGTGTAGGATGTAATATTATATCATGTTATGTTTTGAAAGTAACTTTGAAAGATGCATGATAGTTGTGTGTTCTAGCTACAACATCTACATCTTTATAACAAAAGCCTGCAAGGAAATTCTCCAGGAGAGGTTATCTCTGCAGGGAGGTGGTAAGGATTATGGTAGGAATATCTTTTTTAAAAGAAAAAAGATTTACCTTTGGGTGTGCCGGGTCTTCCTTGCTGTGCTCCGGCCTTCTCTAGTTGTGGAGAACGGGGCGGGGGCGGGTTTACTGTCTAGTTGTGGGGCAAGGGTTTCTCACTGTGGTGAATTCTTTTATTGCAGAACATGGTCTCTAGTGTGGGCGGGCTTGGTAGTTTCGGGTCGTGCGCCCTGGAGAGCTTGGGCTCAGCAGTTGTGCCGCATGGCTTAGTCGTCCCTTGGAATGTGGGGTTTTCCCAATCAGGGATGGAACCTGGGTTCCTTGTGTTGGCAGGCAGATTCTTTACCACTAAGCCAGCAGAGAAGCTCCAGAATATTTTATTTTCTTTTGCGTTTCTATATTATGTAAATTTTCTACAATGTGCTATTGGAAAGGTGGTGTAGCATAGTGACTGAAAAAGCAGACCGTCTGGGTCTGAATCTGGCTCGCCAATTCATGTACCTTCATGATCTTGAACAAGGCACTTCTTATCCTCAGTTTCCTCCCGCATAGGGTGGGGGTTGTTTTTAAATGAGCTCAGTTTTGCCACGAACATTTCATTTTCTATGAACAGGGCAACAGGGCCTGGTGTGCAGTAGGCATTATGTGTTTGTTAAATTAAAGCAAAATTACTTTTATCGAATATGCAAATATATTTTAAAAATTGCCCAAGTAATACAGAAACATAGTCTTCTTGTGATAAATGATACAGGAATTTTTTAAGTGAAATAACCCTTGGGGAAGATTAGTTTACAGCCAGTCTGGATTCGCATTAAAAAAAAAAAATTCGTTAAGGCAGGAGCAGGTAGGCATGAGAAGAATGTGGGTGGCAGTCTAGGGACAGTGCCTCCCCTGGTCTCTTCACAGTAGGGGAAAGGCTGAGGCCAGGGCTTACCCATGTGGATTATGGAAGAGCTCTGGCTGATCCCGCACCCTGAATCACCCGCTATGATATATTCGCCCAGGAGGCAAATGCTGAGCCAAGAACCCCAACATTTTGGTTTCCTGATCAGCCTCACTGACACGCAAGCCTGCTAGCTGTTTGGCTTTCTGAAATACTGGTGAGCAACTGATGACCGCTCCCTCCCAGGACTACCATTGTGTCCCCCCAGGGGTTTACGAAGGTGGGGAGCTGTTTAAGTGGACAAGTAACATGCCTTTGATGTGGGTTTCACACCAGCGTGTGCCTGAGGATATCAGGCTCCAGCATCATACACCACGTGAAGGCTCCTTCAGAGGCCCCTCCCTCGGCTCCACTGTGGGGAAGGACTCACATCCGTGCTGTCTCCTTGGGTCCTGCTTTTTACCTGCTCAGCATTTAAAAAATTATTTGGCTGCGAGGGGCCCTAGTTGCAGCACCTTTGATCTTTGTCGAGGAATCTTTAGTTGCAGCCCGTGGGTTCTAGTTCCCCGATCAGCGGTCGAACTTGGGCCCTCTGCATTGGGAGCTCAGAGTCTTAGCCACTGGACTGCCAGGGAAGTCCCTCTCAGCCTTTCCTGACCTCAGTCCATGGACTGATTTGGGTAAGTGGAGAGGCAAGATTTAAGCACTTTGGCATGCAAGCTTTTTCCCAAAGGGAAAAGGTTTAAGTTTCATTTCTACCCGTCCATACCAGTAGTACTGGTGAGGAATGGAAGTTACTGGACTGGTGCTGAGTGGAGCCTCCAGGGAGGAAGGTAAACAGAACCACAGCCCAGGCTCAGGGCAGCCAAAGGGTGTCCCGCCCTGTGAGGCCATCTGAGCACACCTTCCACCTGCTAATCGGCCCCCCTGCCAGGCCCCAGAGTGAGAAACGAGGGGAGGGTCACTGACGTCTCTGGAGACAGGCCAGGGGGGGATGGAATTCAGGCACGTCCTGGTTCTGGACCACGTTGCCCCAGGGAGTTTCCTCCCCCGTGACTGTCTCATTTCCTCTTCTGAGCCAATCATTAACCCCACCAGGGCCCCTCGCATGAGAAGCTATAGGAACAAGTGACTGGTCAAGGCTGGAAATGTCCAGGCCGCTTCCCTAGAGGGGCCGAGTCCCTGGTCACACCCTGCCGGGGTTGGAGGGCAGGGCCCAGCCTCTCCCTGTGACTTCCACACCGTCTGGCTGGGCAGGTCAGATGGAAGAGACCTGGATGTGAATGAAGCCCCTTGGCTTCCGGGCAGTACTACCCAGGGGAGCTGAGTGCAGGGGGCTTAAGTCTGGGGGGCGTGGAGAGCAGCTTCCAGGCACGCTGCGGAGGGTGCAGGATGTCTAAGGTTCACCCACCCATAGAGCTTCAGTTCCACAGGCTCCTCAGCTGCAAAACACCAGCCCTGTGAGAAAAACTCTTGCTGGGCAGAGGAATGGGGGCCCCAGCCCAGCCTGAGAACCGAGGCCCTCAGCCTTTTGGGGAGGGAGGTCTGGCACAGTCATGATTCCCCGGCTTAACTTCCTAGCCTCCAATTAAGCCAGTAACTCAGAACACCTCTACCCCCACGGGTCAGGTGCCGACTCTCCGTCTGGCCACCTGCGGGGGAGGAGTCACCTGGCCCAAGCCCTGCCCACTCCTGGGCAACCTGGGGCCAGGACCAGCCCGGAGACCCTCCGACGGGGCTTGGGAGCTCACGGGTGGGAGAGGCCGAGTATCCTGGTCAGGAATCCCCCCTCTGGAGGCCAGCGGGCTGTCCCCAGTCCCAGGGGATCGCCAGCCTGGTTCAGAGCCCCTTCTCCTGTGACAGTGGTGACGGGAGGATCGGCCTGTTTTCGGGGATTCCCAGGACCCCTGGGTGGTCGTCGCTGGTGAAATCCAGGCAGCGGGTCAGGAGGCGGGTTCGCCGCCTGCCCCTCCACCCCGGGTCAGGGGACTCCTCGGGCCGGCCACCCTCCCTGGCGCGCCCCTCCCCGCGGGCGCAGCCAGCGCTCGAGTCCAGCTTTATTGGCCTAGGCCTCGGAGGGGTGCTGCTTGAGCGTGACCGAGGCGCCGCTGCTGACCATGACGGCGGGGTAGAGCGGCTCCAGGAAGGAGGCGAGGAAGCGGTAGAGGAGGCTCACGCCGCCCGCCACGCCGTAGAAGGAGAGGCAGCCGGCCGCGCAGTCGAGCGCCACGCCCAGCGTGCGGTGGTAGCCGCCGTGCAGCACCGTCTGCGTGTTGTTGTGCCACACGGAGAACTTGAGCGAGTCCCACTCCAGGCACCACGAGTAGGGGTTGCGGCCCAGCAGGTAGACGATGTTGCGGCGCGGGCGGCCGCCGAGCGGGGGGCTGCGGCGGTAGGTGACACCCAGGCACACCCACGAGTTGGACACGTCGGCCTCCCAGTAGTGGCGGCCCTCGGCCAGGCCCCGCGAGCACAGCACCTGCGGCCACTGCTTGAAGCCCGGGAAGAGGCTGCCCGCCGCGAAGGGCTCCAGGAGGATGCCCAGGTTCAGCACCGAGTGGGTCTCCTTGAACAGGAAGAGCTCCTCGCTGGCCGTCGTGGGGTCGAAGTTCAGGTTGCAGTAACCTGGGCCGAGGGGGTATGGGAAAGGGGGCTAGGGTCCGCGGGCCCCAGGGGCAGAGCGCTGGAGGTCTGGAGAGGGGAGGGCCGAAGCTCACAGCTTTGGCACAAAAGTCACCAAGTGCTTCCACCCCCAGCTCCCAAGAGTGGCCCCTCCATTCCCCTCTCTAAGTTTTCAACTCTGGTTTGCAGGGGTGGACATTGTCCGGCTGGGTGCTGTCCAAAGGCCTGCCTTCCTAGAGAGGTGGACAACCAAGCGTCCCCCTATCTGCCCTCCCCCACCAAACCCTAACATGATCCCCCTTTCTGCTTGTTCAGGACACAAGACTGGGTGGGGCTGCGGGAGTGTCAGGGGCTCCTGGAGGAGGTCGCTCAGAAGGGGTCATCAAAGGGTTCATCAGCTGTGACCCTGGAGACCTCAGAGACATCACCGGTGATTTCTTAGAGAGTCACTTGGTCCCTCGCCCAGCCTGGGAGAGGGGCTGCAGGGACATTAACTGAAAAGGGAGACCGATTATAGAAGAAATGGACAGGGCCACCCACGCTGGCTTGGCTAAAGTCCAGGGGAGGTCGGCAGGCACCCAGCTGAGGGCAGAGGCTGAGCCACATCAGGGGCGCAGAGGGCTGCAGTGCCGGCCTCTGGGTAGCGGTTGAGGCCCTGCCACCCATGGGCGTCGGACAGGACAGCCTTCTCCCCTTCCTTTCAGGGCCATGGAGCCTCAGGCCCTCTGAGGTCTCCAGTCCAGAGTCAAGGTCAGGGCAGGAGAGACCTGGCATCTTTCTGGAGCCCTGGTCTGAATGGAGGTGGGGCTGGGTCGGTCGAGGCAGCCAAGGACCCTCTTCCATTCCTTCCCGCCCCTGGGGCTGGACCCCAGGACTGAGGACTCACACTTGAGAAGGGTTTTCCTGTCCACATCTGGGGGCAGCACCTCATAGGAGTTCATCTTAATGCCTGGGGAAGATGGAGGGGCTTTGCTGAGGACACTTCCACAGCCCAGTGTCCTTCCAGAGAGAGGCATGGGCTCTCAGGAGGTTGAGTCACCTGGTGAAGGTGCACACAGACAGGCCGTGCTCTCTTACAAGTGACCGAATCCCAACCGCTGCCCTCGGGGCAGCCCATCCCCAGAAGGCAGGAGGGTCTCCAGCCGCCCCAGGCAAGCAGGCTCTAACTCACCCTTCAGGAGGAGCTGGTTGATGAAGCTGAGACCCATGTCCACCAGCCGGGTCCGGAGCTCCGTCAAGGTCTCTGGCAACTGGAGGAAGCTCTGCTTCTCCTCACAGTTGGTACCCATCAGGGGCTCCATGCAGGCAGGGAAGTGCTTCAGCCTGGGCAACTCCTGCAGGCAAGGAGGGGCTGGCAGGACCACTTGTTAGCCAGGCCCCAAGCAAGGGCCAGGGGCTTAGCGGTTCCCCAGAACCAGGAGGCAGGCGGGAAAGCTGCCCATGTTCAAACCTGGACAGCTTTCTCCCCTCCTCCTGTCTTATTTGGACATCGGAATTAGGGCTGTCAAAGCCCCTGCAGCCCAGTGGACGTTGCACTGGGCCTGGGCAGTGGGGGTAGGGAGGGGCCTTGCCTGCAGAAACTGCTGGTCACTGCGGTTGGCGAGCAGGCTGCGGAGCCAGATGCTGTCCCCCTCGAGCTTCAGGAGCCGGTTGTGACTCTGCTGGATGGAGCCACCCAGCTTCCCCAGGGCAGCAGCCTCCTCTTTCTCCACGAAATCCAGCACCTTCATCTGCATCTGTTTGATCTCCTGGATGATCTCTGAGAAGCAGGCGTTCACCTCTTCCCGCGTTGTCTGGATCAATTTCTGGCGGCAGGGGTGGGGAGGGGGCGGTGACAGAGAGGTGTCTTTGAGCCCCACCTCCTTACCCTCCCTGTGAGGGCCCAAAGCTGGCCAAGGCATCACCTCTCTGTTTGCCTGGCCCCATGCCATCCACTCTAAGCCCTTGAGAGGCCCCCTCGGCCTGAAGCAGGGCGCTGGCAAAGCCTGGGCCGGAGGTGGCGATGGGCCCAGCTTACCGAGAGAAAAGCCACCTGGCCCCGGTGCTTCTGGCTGTCAGAGGTGATGATCAGCATCTGGTTCTCCACGTTGGCCTGGACCTTCCGAACCTCCACCTGGGGTGAGAGGGTGAGGTGGAAGAGGAGCGGGCTGGTGACTCAGAGAGGTGCCCTAGCAGAAGCCCTCTGTGGCCAGTCCCATGTCAGAGCTCAGAAGAAACGCACCTCTTCAATTAAATTAAAAAAAAAAAAACACAACTTATTTAGCTGCATCAGGTCTTAGCTGTAGCACATAGATCTTTCCTTTCGGTACATGGACTCTCTAGTTGTGGCATGTGGGATCTTTGTTCCCTTACCAGGGATTGAACCTGTGTCCCCTGCATTGCAGGGCAAATTCTTAACCACTGAACCGCCAGGGAAATCCCAGCTCTTATGTTCTTAAGAGGTCTGAATGAGAATGAGGATGGGTAGGGCTTAAGGGTAGATGGCCCAGGGACACCCCTCTATTTAATTTTTTTTTGGCTGCGAGGCATGTGGGATCCTAGTTCCCCAACTAGGGATCGAACCTGTGCCCCCTGAAATGGAAATGCAGAGTCCTAACCACTGGGCCGCGAGGGAAGTCCCTCGGGGCCACACTTCTGTTCTCTCATCCCCCGAGAGACTCCCCATTCTTAGGAATCAGGTTCTCTGCTTCTGACAGCTGATGACCATAGGGTTCAGATCACAAGCAGCAGCTATGGAGGGGTTCAGTGATTTGAGAAGCCTGGGGGCGGGCAGTGGGGTGAGCAGGGGTCGATCGGATGCGGAGCCCTTGGCTCCCTGGGGCAGTGCCGCCAGGTCCAGGAAGAACCGTGTCCCCAAGTCCTTCCACATAGGCCTTTGGTCTCAGCTAGCCCAGAGGCTCAGCGGTAAAGAATCTGCACAAGCAGACACTCAGGAGATGCCGGTTCGATCCCTGGGTTGGGAAGACCCCTTGGAGGAGGAAATGGCAACCCACTCCAGTATTCTTGCCTGGAGAATCCCACAGACAGGCTGTCCGTCATAAGCACCGTGATTGATGCACAGCAGGCCACAGTGACCCTGCCCAGGTGCTGCGTTTCAGCAAGACCCAGTCCCCCAGAGTGCTGTGGAGGCAAACCTAGCAGTTCAGCAAAGGAGGAGCTGGTGGTGGGCGTGAGGCTGGAGCGTCCACACAGGNAGGGGATCTGCCTGACCCAGGAATCGAATCCAGGTCTCCTTCACTGCAGGCAGATTTTTTTTTTTTTTAATCGACCTGAGCTACCAAGGAATTCCCAGCATCATTTTAATGGCTGGAGAAGTAAATGGCAACCCAATCCAGTATTCTTGCTTGTAGAACCCCATGGACAGAGGAGCATGGCAGGCTACAGTCTATGCAGTTGCAGAGAGTCAGACATGGCTGGGCCACTAAGGACACTTTAATGGCTACAGTCCTTTCCTTCCTGGAATGGTGTGCCTGGAACATAGAGTCCTCTTGCTCCTCGGCCTCCCCTCCCCTTCCCTTCCCTTCCCTTCCCCATCCACCCTCTCCCCAGGCCTCCTCCCTCTCCCCTCCCCCATCCACCCTCCCCCTCCCTCTCCCCTGCCCTGCCCCTCACCTCCTTGTGCGCCCGCTCCTCCTCCAGCGGGATGGTGTCGTGGTTCTTGTGCTCCTCCAGCAGGCAGGCCCCGCACACGCAGCAGCCCTCGGTGCGGCAGTACAGCCGCCGGAGCTTGCGGTGCTTCCGGCACAGCCGGCTCTTGAGGTCCCACACGGGCTCCAGCAGCTGGTGCCCGTGGAACACCTGGTCCTCAAAGTGGCTGCGCAGGTGCTTCTCGCACAGGGAGGCCATGCACTGCAGGCACGACTTGATGGACTTGAGCTTCTCGGGGGCACAGAAGTCGCAGGGCACGTCCCTGGGCCCGGCCAGGCTCAGTGAGGACCCCAAGGTCTGGCCCTTGGCCTGGGTGAAGCAGGTCACCATCTCCTCCAGGATGACGTTCTTGCAGAGGCGAGGCCGCGTGGGGAAGCCCTCCCGGCACTGGGGGCAGTAGAGGGGCTCGCCCATGGTGGCCTGGTAGTCCCAGAAACCCTGGAGGCAGCTCATGCAGAAGTTGTGCCCGCAGGCGGTGGTGACCGGGTTGCGGAACACCTCCAGGCAAACGGGACAGAGGACTTGGTCCTCCAGCGTGCAGAGACTGCTGTCATCCATCAGGAACCGGCCTTGCGGAGGTCCCGAGAGCTTGGCCGTGGGCTGCAGGGCTGGGGCTTGGTCCTGGACTGGCTCTGGGAAGATGGGGCAAAGCCAGGTTGAAGCCATGGCAGGAGTTGAGGGGCCTTTGAGGGGGACCCCTTTTCTTCTGTTGGAAGCAGCTGGTCTGCCCATGGGGTACCGGGACTGTGCCATTGGTCAACCCTCGGAGGGCATAAACTGAGGCCTGTGTTTTTGTCCCTGCCCGAATTCCTGGAAGGTGGGTAGGCAGGAAGAAGTCATATGGTGACAAGGGAAATGAGCCACTTCCTTGGCCCTTTGGGAAAAAGGTCTGCGCACAAGTACTTACGTGAAACTCTCTGCATGTCAAGGAGAGCCAGAGGCTTGGCTGCCCTGTGGATGGAGGGAAGAGAACCCCCGCGGTGGGGGGAGGGGGCGAGGCCCCAGGTCACCAGCTGCTGGGAGGACTCCCAGCCCGGTGTGCCCCAACCCCAGCCCTTTACATCCCCGGAGGTTGGATGACCACCTTCTCACCTTTCCCTCTGGCTGCTGTTCTGCGGTCCCCCTATCGCGTTGGACCCCCTCCTTGAGACTGCCCACAGTTTTGTTCCTGATGTCACAATTCAAGCATGACCAGCCCCAGCCTTCTGCTTGTGATGTCAGCAGGGCAAAAGAGACTCAATAAAGGAAGACATGAAAATAAGTAAATAGTAAAACATGGTATTCCAGTTAATAAAAAAAAAACATATTTCAGTTGATTATTAATGATGTTGTGTGCCTCAGTTAACCATATATATTCATCTATTCTTTGGCTTTAAAAGAAAACCACCATGAAACATGTTTCTCCCCAAATGTCTTTATAGGATTACAAGGATTTTTAAAGCTTTTCATCATCATATAAATTGGCTGCAAATGCCTCCTGGAGTTTGAATAATGCTTTTTTTTGGGGGGGGGGCAGGAAGGGCTCGCGAGTACATGGAAGGGCCTCTCAGTGGCACTAGTGGTAAAGAACCTGCCTGCCAATGCAGGTAGCATAAGAGACTCGAGTTGGATCCCTGGGTTGGGAAGATCCCCTGGAGAAGGGAATGGCTACCCACTCCAGTATTCTTGCCTGGAGAATCCCACGAACAGAGGAGCCTGGCGGGCTACAGTCCAACCCATGGATAGAGGAGCCTGGCGGGCTACAGTCCATGGGGTCGCAAAGAGTCGGGCACGACTGAAGTGACTTAGCACACACGCACGTGTGCACATGGAAATCTACTTTTCTTTTAATATTTTCCAGGAAAACTTACTTCAGAAAAAAAGAAAGAGGTGCCACTGGACATGCTGCAGTGGTGAGGAGTCCGGCCCCTCCCAGGATATTCTTTGCTCCGGAACCTTCATCCCAGGAGACAGCTGCTGCTGCACCCAGGGCCCCTTGCAGTGGACTTGGGGGGCTCAGTTTACTAAGCAGAGAAGGAAGGTGGCAACTAAGTGGCAGGGCGATCTTGGGCAAGCTGTTTCCTCTCTTGGGACCTTGGTTCTCTGGTGAATCAACAGGGTTGTTGTAGAAGAGATCTCAAGCCTCACTCCTGGTTTGAAGTTGAATGAACCAAACATTATCCGATTGGTGATGCTCAAGATTGTTGTTTTCCACTGTGGTTCTGATCCTCAGAAGGAAAAGATGACTGAAGCTTAGGAGAGAGTCTCATCACTGCGATAGCTTCTTGTCAGTGTTTGTTTCCCCAGCTTTCTCACCCAACAGGATACATGCCCTGAAAAGTTTGCAGTATGTAATTCTTTCTGTTTTGGGGGCTTCACCATGCAGCAGACAGGATCTTAGTTCCCCGACCAAGGGTGGAGCCTGTGTCCCCTGCAGTGGAAGCACTGAGTCTTAATCCCTGGACCACCAGGGACGTCCCAATATGTTACTCTTTCAAAAAAAAAAAATTATATTTATTTGACTGCTCCAGGTCTTAGTTATGGCATGTGGGATCTAGTTCCCTGACCAGGGATTGAAACTGGGCCCTCTGCATTGGGAGCATCTTAGCCACTGGACCAGTGGAGAAGTCCTCATCTTTACTTCTGAAGAATATTTTCACTTGGTAATTCTACATTGGCAGCTATTTTCTTTTCAGTATTTTGGAGGATTTAATTCCACTGTATTTAAAAAAAAAATTTTTATTTTTATTGTTACTTTTTGGCCATGCTGCACAGACTATGGGATCTTAGTTCCCCCACCAGGGATCAAACCTTTCCCCCCTGCATTGGAAGCCTGGAGTCTTAACCACGGGACTGCCAGGGAAGTCCCCTCCACTGTCTTCTGGTTTATATCTTTCTGTTGAGGAGCTGACTGTCAGTCTTACTGCTGCTTCTTTGAAGGTAACCTTTTCCCCTGCTTCTGGTGACTTGTAAGATTTTCTCCAAATTTGTTTTCATTTTGTTATTTCTGTGTTGCTGTTCAGTTGCTAAGCCGTGTTCGTGTTCGTGTTCGACTCTTTGTGACCCCGTGGACTGCAGCACGCCAGGCTTCCTTGTCCTTCACTATCTCCTGGAGTTTGATGTGTGTTCTTATTTATCCCCCTTAGGATTTGTAGGGTTTCTTTTACTTGGCTGCCTTGGGTCTTAGTCGTGGCACATGGGATCTTTCGCTGTGGTGCACAGACTCTCTAGCTGTGGCACTTGGGCCTTAGTAGTTGCAACATGCAACTTCGTTCCCCAACCAGGGAAATCTTAGTTTCCTATGAGGGATGGAACCCGAGTCCCCTGCGTTGCGAGGCAGATTCTTAACCACTGGATTACGAAGTGCCTGTAGGGGTTCTTGAATATGAGGCTGCCTTTAAGTATCTCCGAGGCCCTTGATTACAGCTCAGCATCTCTACCCCTCTGCCTCTACCTAGGCTCCGATGAATGCTCCCTTGGCCATTAGGCAGCTAGCTGCTTGGCTGTTTCCTCTCTGCCTCCAGAATTCCCCTCTCCCATTCAAGCAGTAGGACTCCAGGACTCAGCTTTCGTTATCAGTGCCTCCGGTTGGATTCCTGGGCTGGGAAGATCCCCTGGAGAAGGGATAGGATACCCACTCCAGTATTCTTGCCTGGAGAATCCCCATGGATAGAGGAGCCTGGCGGGCTACAGTCCATGAGGTCGCAAAGAGTCAGACACAACTGAATGACTAAGCACAGCACATTTCCAGGCACGGAGCGGCTGTGCAGCGCAAGGCAGCAAAGACGTGAACGTTTGCCGGAGCCCTGAGAGAAGTGAGAGCTGAGCGCCACATCCCTTCTGCACCTGCCAACGACACCCTTCTCCAACGTCAGGGTCTCATTCAAGAACTCTGCGGGGACTTCCAAACCCTCCCGCCTCCACTGAGTGCTTATCAGCTACCTATCGTAACTGCACAAAGGAGGGCATATTTTGAGGGTGTTTTGCCAACTGTGTAGACAGTGCATGTGCGGGGCCTATCAGAATGAAATGTGAGTAGGAGCAATAGCCCAAGCTTAGACATAAAGCCATCCAAGAATATCCAAGTGAACTTGCTCACAATTTTCTTACAAGAAAGCTGAGAAATACGAACTATTAGTCTTCTATCCACTTTATGTTTTGCTAGAAATAACTAACAGAAAACCAACCAGTTAAAAATACTCAAATTTAGATATGAGACTTAGATTTTTAAAAAAAAATATTTGTTTGGCTGTGTCGGATCCTAGTTGTGACACTCGGGGTCTTTTACTGCAGCACACATACTCTCTAGTTGTGGTGGGTGGGCTTAGTTGCTCTGCGACATGTGGGATGTTAGTTCCCTGAGCACGGATCAAACCCACGTCACCTGTGTTGGAAGCTGGATTATTAACCATTGGTCCATCAAATTTCTGAGCTGCCAAATGTGACATCTGACTTGGGGAAAATAAGCACAGAGGACATAAAAGCACAAAGTGACTCATGAGGGCAAAAGCTAGAATTGGTTAAATTGAATTAAATTTCCACCAAAAATCTCTTGGAAAACCATGATCTTAATGCAAATATTTTTAAGAAATAATGAAATAGAAAAACAATTTAATTGCAATATATAGAATTAAACTGACTTCCCAGGGTAACAGTTCACTCCAGGGGAAAGCCTCACTGATGAGAATCCTTCTGCATGGTATGATTCTTATAAAAAAGGTAAGCTCTGGCCTGCCCCCTGGGCTCACGACTGAGCAGATTCGGTGGAACTGAGATGACCTGTAAACAGTGCCCCGCAGAGCCTCCAGTGGGCCCCAGCAGTAGACTCACCATGCAGACCCCAGGGTTTCGGGATAGACTGACTCCTTTTACAGCAGCTCTCCTTCTGAAGGCTTCCCAGGGGGGCCAGTGGACAAGAATCCGCCTGCAATGTGGGAGACCTGGATTCCATCCCTGGGTCGGGAAGGCCCTCTGGAGAAGGGCACGGAAACCCACCCAGTATTCTTGCCTGGAGAATTCCATGGACCAAGGAGCCTGGCGGTACAGAGAGTCAGACACGACAGAGTGACTAATTCTTTTTTTTTTCTTTCTTTCTTCTCCTTTTGAGAAACTGTGCCTGATCCCTCATCATGGGAATCAAGAGACCATATGGTCTGAGTTGCCCATCAAAACCTACAAAGCCAATTTGAGGGGTAATTAACATAGCCCAGAAATAGATATGACTGTCTCTCAGACCTGGGAACAATGACCTTTTGCAGTGTCTTATGTTAGGGCTTCTTGGTCCATGGAATTCTCCAGGCAAGAACACTGGAGTGGGTTGCCGTGCCCTTCTCCAGAGGGTCTTCCCGATCCAGGGATGGAATCTGGGTCTTCCACATTACAGGCGGATTTTTTACCACTGATCCACCTGGGAAGCCCTCAGAAGGAGGGTCGTGGCTTCCCTGGTGGCTCAGAGGGTAAATTCGTCTGCCTGCAATGTGGGAGACCTGGGTTCAATCCCTGGGTCGGGAAGATCCCCTGGAGAAGGAAATGGCAACCCACTCCAGTGTTCTTGCCTGGAGAATCCCATGGACAGAGGAGCCAGGTGGGCTGCAGTCCGTGGGGTCTCAAAGAGTCTGAGCAACTTCACTTTCACGTTAGGGGAGAGGGTAAGATTATCTGTGTAGAGTAGTTGCATCTTGTCACATGGAGGCATAAAGGTATTCTTACCATTTTGTATGAAGTTCAAATATGCACAGAAGTGAGTTTATGGATACTGAGCAGCCCTGGCTGTGGCTCCTCAGTCCCAACCCACCCAGACTGCCGGGTGCTGCTGGGGCTGAGAGCTGCTGTAAGGGACGTATGAGGGAGCTGGGGGGAGAAAGGAGATGAGCCCCTTCCTGTTATCAGAGAAACCACAGCAACGCAGCTTCACTCTGGCAGCAATAGCTGGTCCCAGCAGCGCGGTGAGCCCCCAGACAGCAGCATCCCTCGCAGGGCCCCTCCTCAAAGCCTCGACTGTGTATGCTTTGTGTGTCTTTCTTTGCCATTCCCCAACCAAGGATTGAACCTGAGCCCACTGCAGTGGAAGTGCAGTCTTAAGCACAGGACGACCAGGGAAGTCCCATCTCAACCTTTTATTTTTCATTCTTTTAAAAAAATTTTATTTATTTTTGGCTGTGCTGGTTCTTCACTGCTGTGCAGGCTTTCTCTAGTTGGCGGTGAATGGGGGCTACCCTCTCATTGTGTGTGAGCTTCTCATGGCAGTGGCCTCTGCTATCATGGGGCACAGGCTCAATAGTTGTGACGTGTCGGCTTAATTGCTGCTCCGCATGTGGAAGTCGTCCTGGATCAGGGATCGAACCTTTGTCTCCTGCCTTGGCAGGTGGATTCTTTACTAATGAGCCATCATGGAAGCCCTGCATCTTGACCTTTTAACAATGTCAACCTCCTTTCTTTGTTCCCCAAAATTGGGAACAAATGGGCTTCCCAGGTAGCTCAGTGGTAAAGAATCCACCTGCCAATGCAGGAGATGCAGGAGACCTGGGTTTGATCCCTGGGTCGGGAAGATCCCCCGGAAGAGCAATTGGCAACCCACTCTAGTTGTTCTTGCCTGGGAAACCTCATGGACAGAGGAGCCTGGTGGGCTACAGTCCATGGGGTCACAAAGAGTCGGCCACGACTGAACACGCACACACACTTGGGAGCAGTAACTCTGTCCTGCGACCCCTACGGCTGTGACAGCCGAGTCCCCCAGGCACTTTCCTTTCCCTGCTATTTACAACTGCTGTGGCCTCTTGCTGGAGCTGTTTCAGCCACATCCCTTCTCAGTACTTTTCTGTGTACGTAACTCCGCCCCAGCTGTTAGCACCCTGTAGGAGGGAAGAACTCTTTCAAATCCCACACCCTGCTTGATGACTTAAGGATCAACACTTAAAACTTGGGTGACTGGATTCTCACCTCACCTTCTTCCTCATCCTCCTGGCAGAGAAAATGGGCACCCATCACCTGTCCTCTTCCAGGAGACTTTTTTCCCTTAAAGACCATCTCCTACTCCTCCCGTCTCCTTCCTGCTCCCCTGCGGGAAGCCCATCTGTCCCACCTTCTGTCCCCTGGCACTCTCTGATCCTTTCAGACACGGTGGAATGAAAACCCGGAGGAAGAAGGTCCAGCCTCTTCCCTGCTCCCCGGCCCCCCAGGCAGTCTTAGCAGCAGGAGAAACAGGGACTCTGTAAGAAGCTCTGCTAGAAAAGGGTGTGGTGACATTCATCTCGTGAGGACAGTGTGAGAATCATCAATGTTGACAGACAGGAGGACTCCAGGAGCTGGGAGTATTGGGAAATACACACCAACAGTTTAAAGATTCAGAAGTCTGTTTCATGTCTTTATTGACAAGAGGGGGGAAAAGGGTCACAGCATTTCAGACTTTATTCAAAGACACACACGGCAACAAAGGGCACCCACAAGTGGCAGGCATGGTCCCTAAGGCCTGGCTCTAAGGCCATCCTGGAGGGTGTGGGTGACTTCTCAGCCCTTCCCCTCAGCATCTGTCTCTTCCTCCTCTAAGCCTCACGGACTCCCCTGAGATCAGTTAGAACTGTGCATAAACGAAGTCACTCCAGAGCAGGCTGGGCCCTGCCTGGCCGGCGTTGCCCGCGTGGCAGCCCTGGGCAGCCAGACAGCATGGGGCACTGCTCACGTGACCCCCCCAGCCAATGGCCAGGCCTCTCTCTGGAATGGTCAGCCGGGCTCTCCCCGAGGGAGCGGCTTTCAAGAAAAAAAAACACCAACTTGGTTCACGAAGGGCTTGGGGAAAATACTTTCCCAGAAACCTTAAGAAACAGTCCCTCTCAGATTCCTGGAGCGCTGAAACAACCGAGACTGTTGCTGGGTGGCCCGGAGAGGGAACCTGGGGAAAGGCTTCCGCTGGTCCCTCAAGAGCGCTCAGCGAGGGGTGCGGCGGGCTTCACGGACTCCAGGTGGACCTGTGCGAAGCACGATGAGAAAGACGCGTCCAGAGGGGCTGCCCCCTGCCCTCCAGCCTCCTCGCTCCTGCAGGTCTGCGTGGGCTTGAGGCCCCAGACGCCAAGGCTTGCCTCCTTTCAGTCTGACGGTGCTTATTCCCATTGACCAGAGCTCCTCACCCATCGGCCTCTGGTTGACAGCAGCTTTAACCTGACGTGTTCAAATCTTTTCTTCCTCCCCCTGAAAGATGTCAGGATGGACACCTGCAACCATTCTGCAGGGGCAACTGTTTTTGTAGGTAGCAGTCCCTCCAACACTTTACAGCTGTAAGAACCCTGGGCACGGGCCAGACGTCCGTGGTGCCGACAAGCACATTCACGCGGGGGTGTAGACACGGCGTGTCAGCAGGCGCCCAGACACACTTCTCCCCTCTACACACAGACATGTGAGGGCAATGTGAGGTTCCTGTCTGAGCAGGGGCCAGTCACAGGCTCAAAGACACTTGGCACAGTTGACAGTCACTTTAAAGAAACCCTGACTCCAGACCCATGCGGTGAGCAGCTGAGTTGGGGGGCAGAGGGAACCTCAGCTTAGGACCCATGGGCTTGCGGGGTCTTTTATGGACAAAGTGCTCCCCACGGGCACTCCCCCTTCTCTGGACCGCCTGCCACACTAAAAGTCACCGGGGAAAAGCCCGCGTTCTCGGGCCCCTCTGCACCCCACGACTGCTCGCCCAGACTCGGACGCTCAGACAGCAGTCCGTCGCGAGCTCTGAGGCCTGGCTCCTGACTGAACAGCACTGGCTCACCAATGCCTCGGCCCCCACAGAAGGAAGCGGCGGTGAGGGGCCGGTCAGGTGAGGGGGTCCTGGGCCCGCCCGGCAAACGCACGCACACACACTACGGCGGATGGCATGGGCTCACAACCACTGCCCAGGTCAGAAACCAAGAAGAGACACAAATATCACACTTTCAATCAAGGCATTTCCGAGACGACCACAAAAACAATGCCACTTTTGATACTACAACCTACCACGTTTGGCAACTTTCAGAGGAAACGGCCGTCTCCACCCCAAGGCAGCAGAGGGTCCAAAATCCCTGTATCCTCGGCCCCAGTTTAACAAGTCAGGGAAGGAACATGGGCCAACAGAGGGCAAGCAAAGGCTGCATAAGCAGTTACGCCAACACCTACAGCGCCCACCAGTCTGCGTGTCTGACTTGGTACAGGACACCGCCGGCCTCGGAACTCTTCCTGGGGAGGTGAGCTCTCTGGGGCAGGGGGTGGGGTGGGGTGCCAGCTGCTGGAGACTAATGAGGCAAGCCGAACAGGGGGCAGCTGGTGGCGTAAATCCAGAGCTGCGACCCCCCATCCTCCCCTCCTCAAAGAGGCTTTGTTCATAGGAATGTGGGGGTGCTCTGGAGACTCTATCCTTCACCGAAACCTCAGTTCAACAGCCTAAACCAGACTCCTCTGCGTCTGCTGCGGTAGTCTGGGGTGTGTGAAGAGAAATGTGGTGTGATGACGTGGCTGCCCACGTCCAACAGGGCACACTCAGGTGAAAACGTGGCACAGCTCAGGACAACGGTCTTTCGCGCCCTCCGGCTTCGGGGACGTACAGCATCTGCAAGGACCTAGGCCTTCCTCCTCCCCGCCCCATCCTGAGATAAGCTCCACCTGGGAACCCAGCCCAGTGCTCTTGGAGAGGTTACAACACTGGCTACGAAAAGAAAAGCAGGTTTCTGAGAAGGTATTGTGCAGCTGAAAGTGGCATCTGTCTTCGGGTTCCTGTGGGGGGGGTGGGGTTCCTTTGGTTTTGACCAGAACTCTCCTCCGCGGGGGGCCAGGTGCGGCTTGGCTTGGCAGTAGCTCGGTTTCTGTACAGGAGCTCGGCTGGGCGCGCCCGTCACTGAGGACTCGGAGTTTACATCCGAGACCCTCTCTCCTGAAGAATCTAGAAGGGGAAAGTGGGGGAGACTGAGGCTTGGGCTCTGGGTACACGCTGCTTTTGCAGGGGTGGCTTCCCAGCCCATTGAGGGAGGAGAAAGAGACTGGAGTGGCTTCCCTCTGGACCCCGTGGAGCAGCAGCAGGACGACCCATTACCCCGAGAAGCGAGGCAGCACCCCTGAAGCACTGCAGTGTAAAGACGCTGGGGCAGGGCTTGTGTGCCGCGGGGCCACCTCCCCTGAGTGGAAGGACACAGCCAGCTCGCCACACGTGGTGGAGGACCAGTGCGGGTGGAGCAGGACCACCTCCCCTGAGCGGAAGGACACAGCCAGCTCGCCACACACCGTGGAGGGCCACCTCATGCAGAGGAGGATCACCTCACGTGGAGGAGGACCACTATACACATAGGAGGACCGCCTCCCTGAGGGGAAGGAAACCGCTAGGCTCACCACACACGGAGGAGGACCGCCTCACACGGAGGAGGACCACCTTTCCTGAGCAGAGGACACAGCCAGGCTCACCCCACACTGATGAGGGAGACTCACTGTGGGGGTGTGTGTGAGTGGCACAGTGGAGGAAGAAGAGAACAGTGTGCAACAAGCTTCCAGTAACCTCAGGGCTTTGGGGTGCGGGGGGTGTCACAGAGGTAACCAAACACCCTTTCTCTTGAGAGAGAGGAGTTTCAAAGTATAAAGGCAGAATCCTTCCAACTTTGAGTTTCAAAATTCTCACCTTAGAGGAGTCAGTGGCCATCAGCTTTTCTTTTTCACTGATTTGACAGAGCCTGGGAAAAGACTACCCTACTTTAGTTCATGTGTCCTAAACTAAAAGCCTATGTCACTGCTTCGAAAACCCTGGTTTAAATGACAACAGTCAAAAGGCCAAAACGAAAGGGAAATGCAAAGCTGGCTTGAGAAGGAAAGGGCTGATCTGGTGAGCAGCAGTTCAGGCAGGGCCGAACAGGGGCTGGGAGCAGAGTCGGAGACGAACGTCAGGCAGAGGGACTCACCTTGGCCTTCTCACTGGGCTCAATGACAATGCCGTTGGTAGAATTGTTTAGTTCTCTGGAGACAACACAGAGGAACTCTGCCTGATCCTCGTTCCCGTAGTTATAGGAAGATCCGATGCTGATGAGCTGACCAAACAAGAACAGGTCAACATTTGGGCAGGGATCTTAAAATAATTAAGGGCCACACGAATCAAACCCTCCTCCTGACTGAGCTTTGTTGTTTTGCTTCTCAAAGGATGAAGAACTCGCTGGGACTATCAAGGCCCCAGGGGACACCTGGATCCCAGTTATTCACCAGAGCATCACCAGCAAGGATTTCCTGCTGTGGCCTGGCTTCCATCCCTGGCTGGGGAACTAAGCCATGCAGCACAGCCACAAAATCAACCATCCGACCAAACAAAAAAACCCACTAATTCTTAAAAAAACAAACAAACAACTTTGTCTTTAAAATTTTATACCAGGGAAAAAATACTTCTGGAGTGGAAGTATGACGTTTTGCAACCCACAGCTGAACAAAAACGAGGGATACACAGAATTGATTCTGCCATGGAAGATAGCTGTGAGGAGTCACCCAGTACTGGTGCTGAAGACAGAGATGCCTGTGTTTGGTCTATAATGTAATACTGTTGACCCAGTAACTTTCATTTAAGGTAAGCATATGGTGACAGTTCAGCTGACCTCTTAAACTCTACACAGAAACAAGCATGATTCATTGACTTTATAATACTGTCGTTCGACTCATGCTCAGCCTCCCCGTGTGTTTTGAAGACAACAGATGAACAACTCTGCCATCTAATGGAAGAAAACAGTAAAATCCTGGTTCTCAGATGCTTTGTTTCGATGCCGTGGTCGTGAGCACAAAGCTAAAGTACAGAAACCCACAGGCTAATGGGGAAGGACCTCACCAGGCTCCAGCTCGTCTGAGCCCGTCATGCCATGCCTGCTCACCACGCCGCGTGAACAGGGAGGGTCACTGCTGAACCCTCGTCTTCTTCAGCTACTTATTCTAGAATGTGTCAGCAAAGCACTTTTGAAAGGAATCCCTGAAGGAGAAAAACCCAAAGAGGCACTTTCAAGCCTAAAGAAGCTGGCTGGCTCCCTCTGGGCAGAATCACAGAACTTCTGGATATAAAGCCTGGAGACAGGACAGTGTTCTCGGTCTCACCCAGCTCATCGCACCCTGCCATGCAGAGTGCACATGGAAGGCCTCTTTCCCCTGGCCCTACCAGACTCCTAGGGTGGGTGACTGGCTACAGATGGTGACAGAGTGGGCTCCCAGGCTGAGATGCACCTTATGACACGTTGTTTAGCTGCCAGGGCATGTCCGACTCTCTGCGACCCCATGGACGGTCACACACCAGGCTCCTCTGGCCACGGGACTCTCCAGGCAGTAATACTGGAGTGGGTTGCCATTCTCTTCTCCAGGGGATCTTCCCAACCCAGGGATCGAATCTATGTCTCCTGCATTGGCAGGTGGATTCTTTACTACTGAGCCGCCAGGGAAGCCCCAAGAAACATTACCTGTTCGAATTTCCAACCATCGGACATAGTGGATACCATCTGCGTGAGCTCCTCCTCTTGGCATTGCAGGACTCTGTACACGTGCTTCACGGGGCCCTGCGACAACCACATACAGGCTCTGAGTTTCAAGGACACAACAGTTTGCAGCTGCCTTGGTGAAGCTCTTCAGAAGAATAAAGACTGGAAAGGAGTGTGCTTGGAATTTTTTTCTTGGCAGCCACCCGCTACCCCCTTTCAAGCTGCACTGTAGTTTCTCAATAAAAACTTATCCACGGAAAGAAAAAAGAAAATATAGGGTCCAAGAACATGAATAAAACAAAATAATCTTGAACTTCAGAAGGATGAATTGTGAGCGACCATGCTGATAAACTTATGACTTCATCTATTTCCCAAAGGAGAAAACAGAGTAAAATTACTCAGGACAAAAAGGTCACATTTTCTTCTTCAGTCTTTATAGCTAACACACATGCTGAAAATGTAGACCGTATCTTCACTTACTGAGAATGATACCTTATATGGAAACAATACATTAAACAGGGACTCTACAGTAAACAAATGTTCAAGCTGTTTTACCCTCTGCTGAAGCTACCTCAAAGTGTTTCAGTGTTACATGGTAACATTCCTGTGACAAACAAGCATATGGTTCCTGGCACAGACCTCCGAAAAACTATGTCAACTCCTGAGTCACAGCAGTGTCTTTTGTATGCTAATAAGCTGGTCACCAGAAAGACCCAGGGGGTTAGAGGGTTAGAACCTTTGGCCCCGCTCCCTGACCATGGGGGAAGGAGGAGAGACCAGAGATTGAGTTCAATCACTGAAGGCCAATAATACAGACAACCTTTCCTACTGAATGAACCATCCTGAAAAACCCCTAAGTAACGGGGTTCAGGGAACTTCCAAGTTGGCAAACACATCCCTGTGCTTGGGGGCGGGTAATGGATGCTGGGGACTACACGGGGACAGAGGACCCTTTAGGCCTTCACCCCATGAATCTCTGCATCTGGCTCTTCATTTATATCCTCCATAACAAACTATAGTAAGTATAGCATTTCCCGAGTTGCACCAATTATTCTAGTGAATTACTGAACATGAAGGAGGCACTGTGGGAACCCAGATCCCAACTAGCATCCGAGCCCTGGGGAGTCTGACACTGACTCTGAGTGGTCAGTGTCAGGACAGAACCAAACTGTTGGTCACCTGGAGGGTGTCAAAGATGAGATGTGCTGACCAGACTCAACTCTCTAGAACACGAGCTAGATCGGGAAGCCAAACGGCTGAGCAACTGAGATGGACGCCCCAGAGCTGCAGCACGAAGGCCCACACCTGACCTACATCGACGCCTGTGACCTGGGCCACAGGGAACGAGAAGCCGCTTGTGAGGCGGCTCCGGTGGCTGCAGGGAAGCAGGCTCGCCAGATGTGCTCCTGTTCACAGGACAACTTCAGGCGCACAGGACTCGGCATTTAGCAGTCAGGGACCATCGGTGTTGGGTCCAAAGCTGCACACTTACTGCCCACCCGAGAGGGTGAGAGAACCAAATAGCAGCCCAGGTTTAGAACAATGACGCCTGGTCATGGAGAGAGGGGTCAGTTACCTTCTATCGGATTTTAAGAAAATCTGGACCATTTTCTTAAGAATGATGAAAACTTAGCCCATTTTTAAAAAGGATGAGTTGGCTTCAGCTGTCTAGAAAATTAGAACAATTTGGGAAATACTGGATGAATAAAAGCAGTTACTAAGTACCGCGGGCTACAGGCCCCAAGTGCTGCACCCTTCTCTTCCAGTCTTCACTGCAGTCCTGGAAGGCAGGTGTCCGCTTCTTTCTACACGGAGGACACTGGTGTTCAGGGCACAATATCTTGCCCCAGCAGTGTGGCAACTAAGTGGACTGGAGGCAGAGCTGGGATATGAGCCCACATCTGCCTGACAACACTATACAGTCTTTCTCATATACTTTGTCCTTCTGAACGAGGTTCCATTCGATAATGTGCTAAGGTGAAAAAACAGAAAATTCCTTCCATATAAAATATAGGACAAATCTCGTGACAATTTCAATTACCCGAGCCATACACTTCAGGAACAACCAGGTGTTTTACACTGTAAGATGCAGGGCATCGCAAAGACCCGATAGTGGCTGCAGCTGTCAAAGTCCCAGTTGTTTAAGATAACTGTACCGCCTCCTCTTTACTTTCCTCTTCCCAAGTAAACCAACGCCACTCTCAAATGCACCAAGACCCATCTCACAGCAAAAAACGCTACCGGGGATGGCAAAGTAACAGGATGGTGGCAGCCACTGGAAGTGAAGTGAGGTCACTGGAAAAGTGGGGAAGGTCCTCCACACCCTGGGCTTTACCTGACTGTCTGCCAGGTGTGTCTCCTTTCAACACAGGCAAGGTGAAGGAGATGCCGAGTTTGAGGAGACAGCCACAGAAATCCACACTCCGCCTTAAGGTGATGTGGGACAAACGTAAAAGGGGACATCTGTGAACGACATCAAATCCACTGCCCACCCAGAGTCCCACTAAATAAAGGGGACAGGTGGAAAGATCAATTAACATCAAAAGGGGCTTGACATTCCTAGAATAAAAAAACTTCCAGCTAGGTATAAATCCATGAGCCTCAAAATCGAAAAAACTAATTAACTCAATTACTGTCATCACATAAAAACCTCACAACACTCTCAAGGAGTTTACTGATGGCGAAGAATTCAGAGTGTTCAGATGCCATGGTTTGAATGGTTTCAAATTTTATACTTGATGGTATCATCAAAACTTATATTAAGCAATCAAAGGTTTTTTTGTTTAATGTGAAAAACTGAGGATGGACGAGATTCGCAGAACGTCTAAGCTATTACGTATCTGTAATAGTGAAAGAAGCCACGTAAATATAACAGGAGATGGCAAAAAAATTGGTGACGCTAGATCATATTTCACATGGTAACCTGCAAATCAACTATGAGTTCATCTTTGAACATTAAAAAGGAGCCTTTCATCCCAGGTTTCAGCACCAAAAAAAAAAAAAAGCCTTTCAGCCACGGACCAGATGGAGAAGAACTAAATGAGTAAGCCTCCTTTCCACCTTCGCAAAGTGCTGAGATAAAATGCAGAACAGAGTCCATTCTTCATCATAGGGGCCAGGTGGTCATCCAGATAACTCCATTCAGAGCCAGAAAAAAACGTGATACATGAAGCCTAACACAGAACATGCAAGGAACAAGTTTCTGCTTTTGAAATTCTGTATTGCGACAAATTAGCTCTCAAGAAAGCGACCATCACCAGTACCTGATGGGGCAGGAGAGAAGTCAGCCTGGAGTCGGACTCTGTCCCATTGGTGCAGTCAAACCCTCTCAAAATACCTGCCTGTTTTTCCTGCTAGACTTTAAACTTCTTGAGGGCATGGACCTCCCATCAGTCGGGGTCCCCAGGGCCTAACAAGTTATTGTGGCCACTTGCTTAAGACTGACGATGGGTGATGTGACATGAAATGAGCTAAGTGTGCCTCACTGCCTTCCCTGCTCAAACTACACAGCAAATTCGGGTGGATTTTTGTCACCATATCTAAGAAAATCCGGACTTCATAAAAGAAAGAGAAGCTTGGTATTATTTTCTTAGAAGCGTGATTCACAAGCCATGTGCAAAGTCTATGCCATGCAAGTGTCTGTTAGCAGCTGGCTGTGACACGGTCACAGGCTGAAGGCTGGTCCTCATATAGAAGCCAACAGGTAAACAGGCAGAAGCAAGACCTCGCTTGGCCCCCACGTGGACATGGAGGGAGGCAGATGCTCTGCTGGAGAGAACAGGCTTCGAACCTCAAGTTTGGCGACTCCGCCCACTGCCGTATGGCGAGCAGCCACTATCTCCCGTTCTTCTAAGGGGACATGGGCCTGTTTCGGTCTCTTCGTGATTTCTCCTCTGTTTCCCTGTTCTGAACAAGTCTGGTGGAATATGTGCTGCCTGTCTGGCAGATGGACCGTATGCCACACGGAGACCTCCGGCTCACAGGGGAGACGCAAGGCTCTCAAACGGTACATTATCCGTTTCTGATCACCTCAGACATGGGGACAAAGACTGACAAGTGGGATATTTTCCCCTTAAGAGTTCAAAACCCATTACCTGTGAAGTTCTGTTCTCGTTGTCCCGTATTCTTTCCTTAACCAGTCGCACGAGAGATGCAATGTTGTAAAACTCCGCTTCCTCCAGGACGCCTAGAAGGAAGACTGACCTGTGGTTAGACGTGTGTGAACTCCCCAGAAAACAGCAGAAAGAGGCTGGAGAACACGTGCTTGCTAAGAACTGCATCTTTCACATGCAAGTCTCCCTTCTGTAGCCTTGTAAACACTTCTTTGCTGTTTGCTGGGTATCTGTGACCTTTTCCCCAACATCAGCGAGGCAGGCACGCGAGTCTGCTCCGTTTACTGTTTCACCCCTGTGGTTTCCCACCTGCCACCTTCCCTGGCTCTTCCTGCTCCTGCTCATCAGCTGCAGGACACCTTGACCATATGGCACTCAGTTCCTGGAGCTAGTCCCGTTGGATAACTCTCGAGCTTGCAATTTCTACCCAGTTTGTCCTAAAAGTGACCACTGGCTCTCTCTGTATAAGTGTAAATTTATGTGGACCAGTAAAGCAATTATCCTTCAATTTAAAATAAATAAAATTTTTTAAAAAGGAAAAAAAAATTATGTGGACCAAATTAAACAAGATGCATGTTATTTGAACAATATAAAAAGCAGTCAATGAAAGAATCCCACGCACAGGACTTCCCTGGCAGTCTAGTCGTTAGGATTCAGTGCTTTCATGGCCGAGGGCCCAGGTTCAATCTCTCGTCAGGGAACTAAGATACTGTAAGCTGTGTGGCATGTCCAAAAAAAAAAAAAAAAGAATCCCACGCTTAACAAAATCAAAGGATCAAAGGCCTGGGACGGGACAACTAAATGGGATGTGTGATCCTGGACCAGGAGAAAAAAGTTGCTATAAAGACTTCTGTTGAAACAACTGACAAAATTAGAATGTAAGGTACAGTTAAAGTGTTTATCAATATTAAATGTCCTGAATTTGATAACTATATGGTGGTTACATGAGAGAATGTTCTTGCTCTTGAGAAATAAGCCGTGAAGCACTAAGGGGTCAAGCCTGTAATCTAGTCTTAAGAAATTCGGCAATAAAACTGTAGAAAGGGCAGAGGAAGGAGGGGGGAGGAGGAGGAGAGAGAATGAATGAATGATAATGCAAATATAACCAAAACTGTTGATTTTGGTGAATCTGGATAAAGGGAGTTCTTGTACTATTTCTGCCCTTCAAAATCATTTTTTTAAGGCATTAAAAAAGATGTTTAGGATTCTTCTTTTGAAGAAACAAGACTACCCATGAACTGGTAGCTGCTGTGAATGGTGGGTGCACGGAATTTATTTTACTATTCCAGTTACTTTGTATGCATTTGAAATGTTAAGAAAAAAAGGGGGGGGGCATTAAAAATAAAAAGGGAGACCGATTCCTCTTTTGACAGGTTGTAACAGCAGTGTTCTTCAGCCGTTTCATTAGCGAGCACAACCATTTCAGCTTTCTTATGCAGAATGCTCCCAGGTCAGGGTGCCCTGCATCAAGGGACAGGCTCCCATCTTCAACTGAATGTCTCAGTGAGACAAAGATACCCTTTTAAAAGACATCTAGACCCACTTATAGTCCAAGTGCCCTACAAACCAAAAGGATGAGTCAACTAATGATGCCCCTGACAATGGGCTGGAGAATGAATTAGGTCAGATGCAAAAATCAAGGAAGCATGAGACCAGTCTTAAATGAGGCCAAGCCTTCATTATTCTTTTTTTATAACGGCTGCAAGTTCAGACTAAAATTGAAAGAATAAACACCTAAATGTCAGAGATTTGCCGTTTCAGGGTGTGGATATTCACTGCTAGTAATAAGTCAATGCAAAAGAGGTCCTGATAATTTTGCAGGTCCAGAAAAAACTCTACCTCCAAAGCTGAGCTATGTATCTTCCTTCCCCCAAAGAAGGACAGAACAAAGGGGCTCCTTCAAGACCCTCTCAGACTAGACTAGGTAACTGGAGGCTCCCTACTTATTTTTAAAAAGCTTTGCTTCCTGTGCATGTGAGCCTGCTGAAAATCTCAAAATTCAAATCTCAGGACTTTCCTGGTGGTCCAGTGGCTAAGACTCTGTGCTCCCAACATAGAGGGCACAGGTTCGATCCCTGGTCAGGGAACCAAGATCCCACATGCCACACAGTATAGCCCTCCCCTCACACACACACGCACACACCCACATGCCACACAGTATAGCCCTCCCCTCACACACACAAAAAAAAAAAACCTATGAAAAATACATTCTAATCTATGAAATAGTTTTAAGGATTTGACCTGAACTTTGAAGATGCCTAGCGCACAGTGTCCTTACCTTCTTCTGCCAACTCCTTTGTAATGATGAGCTTCCCGTGGCGGAGGTAGTTTAGGATTGGACCAAAGTAGGTAGGGTCCCTGTCAATCAGATAGGCCCCTGTCTCGTCCTGCCAACCAAACACAAGGGTATCACTGTGGAGCTTTCATATTAAGTCAGGGCAGGGTCTCCACCTGTCTGTCACAATTCATAAGTGAGAGGGCAAGTTCCATTAGATGTTTATTACTAACTGCTGGCAAGAAGGCTAGCTTTACGGGTCTTATACTTCAAGATCATTTCTGGGAGGGTGTTGCAGACATATAGTCATATTCATTATCTAGGCGTTGACTTGAAGTTCTAAAATCTTTACTCAGACACGATTACCAATCTCTTCTCAGCCTTTTGGGTAAGCTAAAGCGTAGATACAATTACCAACATTCTTCCTGTGGGATATTTGTTATAAAGAAACAGAGGAAGAAAATGCCATAGCTGTGTGATCTAAGTTTCTGCTTGAGATAGACATTCTGACTTCTCTATTGTCCCTGAATCACATTCCTAATTCTAAGAAAACCTCTGTTTATTTGGCAGTGCTCCTGAGCTGAGGGCCAACGGCAGTGGGAGTCTGCGTTGGCAGCTGTAACTCACACACTCCAGATCTGTGCCCAGAGGAAGCTTGGCATGGCCAGGACTTGGCTCTGAGCACTTTTAATCCTACTCATCTTTACAGTAAAGGGAACAAGAAGAAACTGGCTTCTACTGCAACAAAGATTCAGGACAGATAAAATCATTCCTTTATAACAAGCAAGGTTTTGGAAAACTCTTTTAAGTGAGGGCAGGACAGTTTGCCTTCAATCTGAGATTATAGGAGAGGTAGCAGATGAATAAATGAAACTAACCAATGTTTACTTAACCCTAACTCTGTTGCAAGGGAACAGCTAAGTGCTACATGGGATACAGGTGATGCAGGCAACAGTCAATGCTTTTAGGCCAGAAACTGAAAGATGAACGTGTAAAGTTAAAAAAAATCAAACAGCTCAAACTGAAAATGGGTTAAGCGTCTTGTCACCTCTCAACTCTTTGGTTAGCAGCCATGCGTCTTGCCCAACGGTACTCTTTAGGTTTCATTTTCCCTGGTCTTAATCCGTCAGCTTAGGTTTGCATTGGCAAAGGACAACCTCTTTCTTAGGAATGTATCTGAGCTCAAACCGGGACCTAAAACAGTCACAGTTACCAGATACAGCCCAGAGAGCAGGACCACAAGAAAGAAGTGCGGGATCATGACAAGCGCTTCCTGCAACTGTCGAAGTCATCATCACACCAAGGCTTTCACCCAACTGGGCAGAGGGGTCCGAGGGGAAGTCTCAGAAAGCTACCTGGATGCCTTAGCTCGCCCTGACCCAATTCTGGATGCGTCTGCCACAGGCGCTGAGGGTCTTGACCAGGAACCAGGGAAACGAGGAAGTCGGGGAAAAACTCATGCAGACCTGAGGGGCTGGGATGAGGTGCAGAGAAGAAGGGGACATGGGGTGTGGAACGGACTCTCACGGGTGAGGGTGGGCATAGTGCGGGGAAGCAGCCGCTGAGAACGAAGGGTGCGGTCAGAGAGAAAGTCTGCGTGCGTCTGGGGCTGGGGCAGAAAAGCCCCCAGGGCTGGCTGGCGGGTAAATAGGAGGAGGAGGGGGTCCCGGCCCCAGGTGCCCGCCGTAGAGAAGCGCGTCGCAGGAAATCCGGGGACCAGCCAGAGAAGAACGAGGGGGTCCGAAGGCCGGGGGCGCGCCCGAGGGCGGGGCGCACCTTGTCCGAGTCCAGCTCCGGGTCCTCCTGGCAGCAGAGGCGGCAGAGAAAAGACTTGGGCTCCCGGCCTAGGGTCTGCCTGGTGGTCACGAAGTAGGTGCCGCCCACGTTCAGCCGGACCCAGCGGGCCGCGCCACCGCCCCCTGCCCGCTCCGGCGGCCCGGGACCCGGCTCCAAGATTGGCTGAGGGGAGAGCTTCCGGTGGCCCACTTCCGTTCTCTGCTGCTGCGGACTGCGGGCCGCCCGGGGTCGGTGAAGGTGAGTGAGCTTGGGGTCCTCAAACCTACCTGAGCGCAGCGGGTTCCTCTGCTCTGTCCCTGCATACCTCGGCTCGACCCTTGTCTCGCCCCTCCTTCGCGCGGCTGCTCTTTCGCGCCCTCCTCCTCTCCTCTCCCTCTAGCGCGAGGCCGCGGAGGCCAGTTTGTGTCCTCTTGACTTTTAGGGCTTCCACTAACCTTTGTCTCGTCCAGGCCGACTCCAGCCTGGCGGCTTCAGGAGTTCGGTTTGGAGGCTGAGAAAACGTTGCCGGGACTTAGTTTTAGCCTGCTTGGTGACGCCCAGCAGGCTGGAGGGCTGTGCGTTTCCCGTCTGAAGGTTACAGCTTTCGAGCGTGTGGAGCTTTCGGAGCTTCTCTAGTGGAGGGTTCACTTACCGATTCAGTAAATATTCACTGAGCACCTGCTTGTTCAGGGTCTGTTCTAGGCGCTGGGGATTCAGCAGTAAGTAAAAGACAACAAACCCATTTACGAAGCTTCCGAGCTTGAAAAAGTTTCTGCAAGGGCACTTATTCTGTCTGGTGTATTTAAAGATCACCCGAACCTTAACCTCCACTCCAGGGAACATAAGCTATCTTGAGAGTGAAAGGAAGAGGCAGATGTTGGACATGTGTCTTCTTTCTTTTAAGGCCCTGGGGAAAATTTCCATCTCCTTTGTGACCCACCCCATAGTTTATAAAAATCTTTAACGGTTGTGATCACTTTCCGTGTTCTCTCACATTCACGTATGTATTGAATACATTTTTTTAAAAAAAGTATGTCCAGTATACTCAGGGTATGTGCTAACACGACAGGGGAGCACCAGGCATGAATAAGGTGTCGGTGTATTACCAGTCTAAGGAGGAATGGGTAGAGAGCCCCTTAAGTTTGTAGTGCAAATTGGTGTGCACAGTTATATTTGATATTTTTAACAGCCTTTTTTGGCTAACAGGGCTTATTTCCCCCTTTTTCAGGTGACGAAATTTTGGTCCAGCGTCTGCTCTATTTAACTAAGCCTTGTTAAAATGTGAATATGTGTCAGGTTCTGTGCACTGGAGAATCAGTGAATAAAATGTAGGCCGAGTGGAAGTGTTTTTAAATTACTAACTTTTATGTAATGCATGAATATTGCTTTAGCAATGTTTCCAAAGATACATGGAGTGCAAACACTGGCTAGTTGCATTTTTTCTTTTTTTTTTTTTAATAACTGGACTTTTAAGGATAAATTAGGAGATGGGGAAGAGAGGGTATACCATCTAGAATATATTTGTATGCCAGGTTGTATACCTTGAATTTTAAAAACTAAAGTGTCCTCTTCTGATATTGTCGTCCTAATTCCTTTAGTTGGCAGATATACCCACTCATATGATGCTGATCTATTTCTTAAAACTTGAATACTTCTGTGATGCCCTTCAGAGGATTCTCTCCAAGAGCCCTGTTTTGATCTGACTTGTATTTTCCAGGATCTCAAGATGGCTGGACGGAAACTTGCTCTAAAAACCATTGACTGGGTAGCTTTCGGGGAGATCATCCCTCGAAACCAGAAGGCCGTGGCTAACTCCTTGAAGTCCTGGAATGAGACCCTAACCTCCAGGTCAGTACCTTGCTGAGAGGGAGTTTCTGGACTTGTGGTTTCATGTGGAAACAAAATATATGAATTCTGATCTTCTTCTGGCAGAAAGAAATTCATGCATTTTCTAAATACTAGTGAATTTTTTTGTTTGTTTTTTGCATTCCTGTGATCTCCCTCCTAGGGAAGAGTGTGGCGATAGCTCCAGGGCATAGGAATGAAGAACAGGGAAATTGCTGTGTGAATTTCCTCTTGCTGGTGGAACAGCCCTGACTTTTGCTTTTCTATGTGAGCAGGTTGGCTGCTCTGCCCGAGAAGCCACCTGCCATCGACTGGGCTTACTACAAGGCCAACGTGGCAAAGGCTGGCTTGGTGGACGACTTTGAGAAGAAGGTGAGCCTTCAGGCAGCTAAAGCCCTGGTCCTGTAACACTGCTGTGGGGGTGGGGAAGCAGGACTGTGGACAGTTCCACAGGAAGACAGTGAGGAAAGAGGAGTGGTGTCAACACCGAGATCCCACAGGAGGCTCAGGAGAGATGGGTGTGGCCAAAGGTCTTGCGTTGAGAGATTTAAGTGGTAAATAGGTGCGGAGAATTCAGGGTCTCCTCATTCAGCAGGTTTTTTAACCTAAGAAAACGGTATAATAGAGTCTTAATCCGGGAGCCAGGGGGCTGTGGAGTTGGATATTCCTGCCCGACTGCCTGATTTCCCTCTGCACTCCCCACCTGTCTCCTTTTAAAGCAGGCTGACAGTTTTCCTACCCTTTTACTGTTTTCCTCTGCTTTTTTGTTGTCCCTTGTAGCTGTGGTCTCTCCCTCACCTATCTTTCTTCTTATTTTTACAATTTATTTTTTGACTGTGCTGGGTCTCTGTAGCTGCGTGGGCTTTTCTCTAGTTGTAGTGAGCGGGGGTTTGCTCTCTAGTTATGGTGTGCAGGCTTCCCTTGCGGAGCAACAGAGCTCTAGTGTCTGAGGGCTTCAGGATTTGTAGCATGAACGCTCAGTAGTCGTGGCTCCCTGGTTCCGGAGCACAGGCTCGATAGTTGTGGTGCATGGGCTTAGTTGGTCCACTGCTGTGGGATCTTCCTAGATCAGGGATCAAACCTGTGTCCCCTGCATCGCCAGGTGGATTCTTTACTACCGAACCACCAGGGAAGCCCTCACCCACCTATATTCTGATGTTAAATTTCATCATCCGGGGTTCGCTTGTTCATTCAGCAAATACTTATCAAGAGCCCACTCTGCTAGGAACAGTGCTCAGTGCGGGGGCCAAGACACTAAGTTGTTTCCTAGGGAGAAGGTCTCATCCATCTCTATTATGCAAACATGACTTCCGATACCTGTCCACTAGGGTTTCTTTTCAAAGAGGAATCAGGGGACTTCCCTGGTGGCCCAGTGCTTTAGATACTGCTTTTCCACCACAAGGGGCACAGGTAACCACCCGTGGTCAGGGAACTAAGATCCTGCATGCTGTGTGGCGCAGCCAAAAAATAAAATTCTTGAAAAAGAGAGAAATCAGAATTACTTTAGAACTATAGGGTTCTTCGAGGTCATCAGGTCTGCCTGTCTTTATCAAGTGAAGAAACTGAAGCTCATTTTAGTAAGAGAATTGTCCAAGGTCTCCAGCTAGTGATGCGGCAAAGAACCTTGAGCTGCTGTTGCCAGTCTAATACTCTTTCCAGTAGAATGCCCTAGATGCCTGCTCGTACCGCCTGGAATGGAGAATGTGTTTTTATATGATGTATTACAATTAGCAGCTTTTGAGTCCTTCTGGGGGGACTCCTGGTGATACTAACAACATTTCGCTATTCCTGTGTTTGTAGTTTAATGCCCTGAAGGTTCCTATACCAGAGGATAAATACACTGCCCAGGTGGATGCTGAAGAAAAAGAAGATGTAAGTAGTTGAGGCTCTTACTTATTCTAAAATTCTCTAAATTCCTGACAGTTCTGTTTCTTACTAGTAAAGTTAAGGTGGAGTGAATTTAAAGGATCGCTAAAAAGGGATGAACTGTTAATAAATGCAGTAACACGGATGAACCTTAGGATAATTATGTGAGTGAAAGAATCCAGCAAAGGAGTATACACTGTATGACTCCACTGCTGGAAAACTAAACAAATTCAGCTAAATCTCTGGTGACCAGCAGTTGCTTGGGGCTGGGGTGGAGGGGATGATAAATATTAAACTGTCTTCACTGTGGTGACGGTTCCATGGATGGATGCGTATATCAAACCCTATCGAGTAGTAGTCTTTAAATATGTGCATTTTATTGTATGTCAGTTATACCTCAACATGACTGTTAAAAACAATCAAGGAGCTGAAACTGGGCAGGAAAATTATACACGGTAGTGAGTAGTTAAATATCCGTTTGTTTGAAAGTACTGAAGGCCCAATGTTAGAACCCAGGTGGCTCCACCAAGGGGAAGTCTGACTAGGTGGTCAGTGGCTTGTCTTGGCCGTGAGGCAGGCCCAGGTGAGGCAGGGATTTGTAGGTTGCCTCGGTGAATAACTCACTAAAGAAACCTGGGCCTGCCGCCTTAAGCTGGTTCTCCTATCTGGGCTTCTTTGTGGTTGTCGGGGATAGCTGCAGTTTGCCCCCTAAAGCAGAATCTCCCAAGCAGTCAGAGGAGCCCACCTCCTCTGCAGAGTGTGGGAAAGCAGTGGGGGGCTCTGGGACTCCTCATGCCTTGGGAGCCTCGGGGTCGGGAAGGTACAACTTGGTCTCAAAACAGAATTTCTCCCTTCTCTTAAAGGTGAAAAGTTGTGCTGAGTTTTTGACTCAGTCAAAGACCAGGATTCAGGAATATGAGAAAGAGGTAAGGATGACCCTTGGCCTTTGCCTGTAATCCATTTTCTTTCCTTTCGTGGCCATGCGTCCTTCACCTAGCAGCAGTCACCTGCTTTGGGTCCTTTTTTTGTATCTCTGCAACCCTATTTATCTTGACACATTTCCCCTCTTTTTTCAGCTGGAGAAGATGAGGAACATAATTCCATTTGATCAGATGACCATTGAGGACTTGAATGAAGTCTTCCCAGAAACCAAATTAGACAAGAAGAAGTATCCCTACTGGCCTCACAGGCCAATTGAGAGCTTATAAGCTTGGGTCCGGGAGAAAGCTCTGGCCCTCGAATTACAAACTCTGGACATTAAAAACAATTACATGGTGCTGTGTGTGTCTACTGCTTTGTGGTTGAGATAATTAAAACTCTGGGGTGACCTCACTGGGAGCAGAGCTTTTGTTGAACTGGAAAGGTGTGCCCACAGGTGTGTGCGGTTGTCTAATGGTGAGGATGTGTAGGAAGCAAATTACTGAGGGCCCAGGGCTGCATGGGTGGTTGTTGTTCAGTAGCTCAGTCGTGTCCGGCCCTCTGCGACCTCATGGACTGCAGCACATCAGGTTTCCCCATCTTTGACTACCTCCAGGAGTTTGCTCAAATTCATATTCATTGAATCAGTGATGCTATCTAACCATCTCATCTTCCACCACCCCCTTCTCCACTTGCCTTCAATCTTTCCCAGCATCAGGGTCTTTTCCAATGAGTCAGTTCTTCACATCAGGTGGCCAAAGGATTGGAGCTTCAGCATCAGTCCTTCCAATGAGTATTCAGGACTGATTGCCTTTAGGATGGACTGGTTGGATCTCATTGCAGTCCAAGGCACTCTCAAAGAGTCCTCCAGCACCACAGTTCAAAAGCATCCATTCTTCGGCGCTCAGCTTTCTTTACGGTCCAACTCTCAAGTCCGTACATGACTACTGGAAAAACCATGACTTAGTGACTAAACAATTATAGCAGGATTTACTTATTATTATAGCAGAATTCCTTGCAGGATGCCTGAGCAATTCCAGGAAATACAGGCAGTTTAAAGTAAGATGAGATGGGGAAAGTGCTGTTGTCCTTGAAGTCAGAGGAGCTTGTATGCCTACTGCTCACACCTGCCCTTGACCATTTACTTGCTGGTTCTAGATTAATCGGCTGTCTCCAGACTTTTCCTTTCCTCATTTACGAACATCAGAATTGTAATAAGAATGAAATGAAATAATCTGGGAAGCTTCTCAGTAAGAAAGCAATCTAAGCAAAGGCATCCGACTTGATGTGGCTTAAATCCTACAGGAAAAAAACCT